CCACTAGGCTACCACCACTACAATTTTAGTTAAGTCAATTTTGCTTTGTTCTAAAACATAAACCCTTAACTTTCGGTAATTTTTGTGGGGGGAAAAGGGTGATTGACTAATTTTGGTCAAATATTTTAGATTCACGGGAATGTTTATCAAAGTCACTGCCACTGAGTTAGTTTCTGCTCCTAGCGACCCGCCATTAGCTTTTCAGTGTTGTAAACTGTGGTGGGAAAAGGCTGAGCGTCTTTCTCGTGTGGAGCCGCTGGTAGATGCGAATCACCTAAGACCAAAGACTTCAGTTTAGCAGTGCAACTCTCTATGGACCAAGGCCTTAAGAGCTCCCAGAATGTATGGGAAATTTCCTAACAAAAGAAAACACTGTAACCAAGCCAACTTTTCATCAAATGTTGATTTTGTAGTTTAATAATAAACTCAGACGTTGCCCCTATATAATTATGACTGATGTTGGATCTAATCTGCCATTTCTCCTTCTGTCAGTATTTTTTGTTATTAATTTTTAAAAAACCCAAAAAAACAATAACTCAAAGTCAATGCCAAGTAGCCAATTAAAATAGTACCTCTGATGTTGTTTTAGCACATTAAGGTTTAGATAATTAAAAGAAAATTCTCCTAGATAATATTTTAATTTAGTCATGAGCTGTTCTTGTTCATACTTAACTTATCCTTACCTATTAATGAATAAAATGACAGAAAATATGGAATTAAGATTCTGTAAGGATAAGAAGACAGCCCTAAATGAAATAGACTGACAGTCACTGTAACATCAAGCACGACAGAGACTGGGAGGACGAAATGACTGGGCGGGGTTTCAATCCTTTTTACGCAAGATCTCTGGAATTAAAAATCAACTCAATGGCACCAAATAATCACAAAAAATTTTTTGGGAGGATATTTACTTTATATGAAATTATTGATAGATGGAGAATCCTTCATTGCAAGCAAGAGTGGCAGTTTGATTCACAGCTTTGAATCTGATGATTTATTCTCTGTTAACACTACTCTTCAGAACATTTTCTATGGTAATATCAAAACCCGTGAGCAGTGAAATGGGCTTTAGTGTCTTAAGTTAAGAAGTAAAATCTCTAAGCATTTTTCCCATTAGACAAGAAAATGTTATTTATTTCTTTACTTTTGCCCAATTCGCTCCTGTCCATTTTTCCTAGAATGATCTTTTAGACCTAAAAAAGTTTATTGTCAGTCACAATACAAGTGTAAGAGTATAGAAAGTGAGGGTAGAATTGAGTAGAAATCTCTTGAATGTTAGGGGCCTTCTTCACTTGGGGTGTAAGTAGGCCAGCTCCTGCCCACTGCCCATGGAGAACATTTCAGATAGATTGCAGTGCATTCCACACCAATGCTGTGGGCATCAAAGGGGCCACCTGTGTTAGTCCAGAATACTGCCAAGTCCAGAACGTGGCACTAAAAATGAAATGTCAATGCTCTTGATATAAGCTTTAGGTGAAAATTTAAAGGGAAACAGTGAATAGAGCACAATAATGGGCCAAACTTTTTTTTAATCATTACATTGATAACTAATTGGAAGCAGGAGTGGCATCCACTTGCTAAACACATGCCTCTGGAAACTCATTGTTGTTGTTGTTGTTGTTGTTATGTGTCATTGAGTCGCTTGCAACCCACAGTGTTGCTATATACAGAAGCTCTGAACCCTGGTCTGTCCTGAGCCAGTCTTATTAATTCTGACACAACAACCCCCACTGCCCCAGTCACTGTATCAATCATCTTATCCGGGGACTTCCTCTCCTGTACTGGCCCCTCACCCTTTCAAGAATGATGTCCTTCTCCAAGAACCAGTCTCTCCTGGCCACGTGCCCAAAGTAAGTGAGACAGAGCTTCAAAATCCTAGCCTCCAAGGAGAGACTTGGTTTCACCCTCTCCAAGACAGACCTATTTGCTTTCTTGGTTGTCTATGGTATGTTCAACACTCTTTTCCAGCACCGCAATCTGAAGGCATCAATTCTTCTGTTATCCTTAGTCATTGTGCAGCTTTCTGATGCATAGCAAGTAATTGAGAAGACCGAGACCTGGATCAGGTGCACCTTAGTCTCTAGACTGACATCATTGCTTTTTAGCACTCTGGAGAGGTCCTGTAGAGAAATGACAGTGGTCATAGAACAGGGTTCAAGTCTATTGTTCATGGAGTCGCTATGAGTTAGGCTCAATTCGACAGCACTTAACAACAACAACACGACAACAACAGGTTATTTTATAGGCAGCTCTAGTGGCCTAGTGGATAAGAAATTGTGCTGCTATCTCAAAGGCACACGGTTGGAATCACCAGCTGTTCTACGGGAGAAAGATGCACAATCTCCTCCCTTGTAATTTATATTGTTATGAACTTGCTGGAGGGTCAGTTATAACTCAGTTCCAATTTTATGTCAGATAACAGCAGCAATTTATTTTATAGCATTGGACTTACTGACAGATAGTTAATAAACTCGACTTATTGCCATCCAATCAGAACTGACTCATAGCTGATCCTCCTGCAGGTTTTTGGAAGATGTGAATCCCACAGGAGGAGAGTATCCATCTTTCTCTGGAGAAGTCCTGAGTGGATTCAAACTGACAGAACAGTAAAAACTTGGCGTTAGCAGCATAATGCCCCACTGACTGCCACCAGAGCTCCCTTAGATGGATAGTCATTAATGCTAGCCAAATTTTAATGCAATTAGCTTGGTGGTATGGAACTGTGCTGCCAAGGCAAAGGTATGTGGTTCAAATCCACCAGCTGTTCTCCCTCATGATTTATTGCCTCTGAAAAGCCAGTTCTGATCAACAGTACATGGCAACAACTTGCTTTGTCAATTTCTACCATTTATTTGTAAGAAATGTAGTCATTAAGTTTAAAAAGGAAAACAATCTTCATACTTTTAAATTAGTAATTCCATTTATGGAACTTCCCCCCAAGGTGACAAAAAAATGAAAAAGAAAGAACAGATTTGTGTATGGTGATATTCACTACTGCAGTATTGGGGGGGAAAAAAAGAGTCAAAGGAATTGAAATGTCCCCAAATTAGAGAATCAGTGGATAGAGTTCATTTAATGGAATATGGCACAGTTTTTATAAGACATAATTATGAAGATTGTGAACTACCTGGGGAAATGTCTGTAATATGAGCCCCAAACCCCAGATATAAAATGTATATGCACTTTATGATGATAATTAAAATAAAAAGTATCTGTGCATACAAAGTAACACAGGGAAGGAATAGAGATTTTTTTTTAAAAAAAAGTTTATGATCTAGATGACAGATTATAGATAATTTTGTTTAAGATACTCAACCTTCTTTTTCTAGCATTATGATGTGGTTTGTGTGATTAAAAAGAATTTAAAGAGTACAGTTGGCAGAATTAACTCATCAGCCACTCCCTCAGGATTTCAGAATGTTTCTCAGCGTACCATACTTCAGGGCAATTGGCAAGACAGATGTGCAAGGTAGAAGCAAGGAAAATAGGCCGGGGGGGGGGGGGGGGGGGAGGGAAGACACACACTGTGCAAAAGGAATAAAGTCAGAGGAAAATGGAAGAAAACGAGGCACTCATTAAACATAACTTCACTCACAGGGACAAGAAGCTAGCAGGGATTGGAACAGTTTGTGGGCCTGAAGTTTATGACGTTTTAGATGATGTCTTTTTTAAAAAAAAAAAATACAAAACTAACAACAGAAAATTTGTTTCCGGATTTTCTTTTTTTAAAATTTCTATTTTAATGAAAATTTACAGAAAAGTTGGATTTTTCATTAATTCTTTGTTGCACATTTTCCTCCCTACCCACCAACAGTTGCTTTAAAAAAAAAATCATTTATATTCCCGGATTTTAGAAGTAGCCCTGAGAGACTCTGATCTTGAAACTTCAGTAGTTTTTAGATAAATAGGCCTTTGGCCTGGAGACATTATTATTGGGTTGTTATTTTGCTGTGTGTTTAAATTTCATTTTCCTGTCACTAGTTCTCCAAAAGAAGTGATGAAGTGGGGAAAAACATCTTCTTAAGAAGAAACAAAAGAATGGAAGCAGAAATGAAAGAGAAACAACCTGCGAAGTCAAGTCAGAATCCTGCAGCCGCCCAGCTGCGGGACTGGGCTCTGCACGGCAACTCACTGGCATTTCATTCTCTCTTCCACTTCATCGTCACATCAGCAGGTGTTTGTGACGAATCACCGAAACCAGAGATCCTGAACATAATACGCTCGCCTCTTAGCTCCAGACGCCAGTTCTAGAGTACTGACGAGTGGACAGTCCCCTTCATGGAGTCTCTGGGCACTGGCAGTGGCTTCCTAATTTATTAGGGAGGACTCAGAGCCTGGGCAGAAAGACTCCACATCTACCACCCCATCCATCAGCCCGTCTGTCTGTCTATCCGTCTGTCCATCCATCCATCCATCCATCCATCCATCCATCCATCCATCCATCCATCCGGTAGCGAGGGAGGAGGAAGAGGAATGTGGATCAGAGAGGCAGTCTTCAATTGGCCAGATCCAATGAGAATGTGTCCCATCTGACCCAAGGTGGTGGTGGGGGTGCTGTGGAGAAAGTCACCTTTCCTAAGGGCTTCTACTAAAAAAATCTGGGTTCAAGAACTGAAAGTAAAATTGAAGAAATGTTTATCACTATATGGGGTGAATTTATTTTATTCTATGGCTGAGTGGAATTTTGAAATATCTGCTATATTAAATTATATATATATGGATATATATATATTTCTCTTTCCTTTCTCCCAAATTACACACATAAATGAAGCTAGAGTACACTCTGACTCTAGCCTCTTTCTTCCTTTTTTTATTATAACTCCTAGCTTTTCTTTTTCTTTCTTACCTTTTTTAAATAAAACAATGGCTAGTTTTATGAATTCCAGGCTTGTCTGGTTTGAGATAACTGGCAAAGGGCTCTAAGGAAAAACCAACAGTCTCCCTTTCTCAGCTCAGGCAATAGCAATCTTCTTTCTTACAAAGAGAACCAAAGATCTTACCAATTCAGCATACTTCTTGAATAAAACATCCAGCTTTTCTTCAGGGGTGTGCAACTTGTTCAGATTTTGCATTAGGAGGTTGGCTTCTTTGCCTTAAAAATAGAAAGATTTAAAAATCAATAAATAAACATTTGACATGAAGTCAGAAGACCTGAGCTAGCATTTCATGTCAGCCCCTCATTTGTTGTTGCGTACGCTTTCACCAGGTTGTGTCAAGAAATCTGAAAGAAAACTACCTAGTCAAATTACAGGAAGAGATCCATATTTATTCCCATTTCAAAAAAAAAAAAGGTGAACCAACAGAGTGTTGAAAGAATTGAACAAAACCATTAATATCATATGCTGGTAAGATCCAGCTGAAGGTTATCCAAAAACAACTGGAACAGTACATCAACAGAGAACTGCTAGATGTGTAGGCTGAGTTTAAAAGAGACAGTGACACTGGGGACATTATAGCCAATGTCAGATGTATCTTAGCTGAAAGCAGAGAGTATGAGAGGAATGTCTTTCTCTGTTTCATTGACTATACAAAGGCATTTGACTGTGTGGATCACAACATATTGTGGCTAACTTGAAAAGAATGGGAGTCCCACAGCACTTAATTGTGCTCATGTGAAACTTATACTTGGACCAGGAAGCAGTAATTAGAACGAAGCAGGGAAACACTGCATGGTTCAAAAACAGGAAAGGTATGCCAGGGATGCATCCTATCTCCATAACTTTTTCCTTCTACATGATTGAGAGATCATCCAGGAGGCTCTATTTTTTCATTTTTTAATTTAATTAACATTTAATTTATTACTCATCAAATATTTAAGTAGCTCCTATCTGAGGGACATTCCCCCCTCATTAGTTCTAAGTTACTAACAAGTTCACATTGTTAATTGCAGTCAATCAATGAATGAAAATCCAAAATCTCTGTAAATGTTCATTAAAATAATTAAAATAATTTTTTTAAAAGAAAATAACAATGCATACTAGGAGGTTTGATTCTATGAGGAGAAATGTTGCATCAGGATTGGAGATAGACACATCAGAAACCACATTATGCACATGACACAACTTTGCATATTGAAACTGCGAAGGACCTTAGGCGTTTGGTGCAGAAGGTCAAGGACTGCAGCCTTCAACTTAGATTGAAGCTCAATATCAAGAAAACAAAGATTCTCCCCACTAGACCAGCTGACAGCATGATGATAAATGGAGAAGAGACTAAGATTGTTAAAAACTTGGTTCCACAATTAACACTCTTGGTACCAGCAGCCGAGACATCAAAAGATGAATTACACTGAGAAATTCTGCTGTAAGGGACCTCCTCTCCAGGGTATTGAAGAGCAACAATGTCAGTCTAGAGACTAATGTGCACCTGATCCAGGTCATGGTCTTCACAGTTACTTGCTATGCATCAGAGACCTGGACAGGAACTAAGGATAACAGAAGAAGAATCGATGTCTTTGAGTTGTGGTGCTGGAAAAGAGTATTGAACATACCATGAACAGCTAAGAGACAAACAGGTCTGTCTTGAAAAGGGTGAAATCAGGCTGCTTCTTGGAGGCAAGGATTCTGAAGCTCCATCTGACATACTTTGGGCATGTTGCCATGCTTGGACAGATGGAAAGATAGTGCAAAAGAGGAAGACCCTGGATGAGAAGAATTGATTCAGTGACCGAAGTAATGGGGATAGGTGTGTCAGAGACAATGAAACTGGCTCAAGATACAGCAGGGTTCAGAGCTGTTACACATATGGTTGCTATGAGTTGCAAGCGACTCAATGGCACAGCACAACAAAAACCCTAACTCAAGCCATTTAGTCTATCTAAGCCACAATTCTTCCTACAAAAGAGATGGGATCCACCTTGCAAAGTAAACAAGAATTAGTTGAGAATTTGTGAAAATGTATGATGCAGTGTTAGGCTCATGGTAAGCTCTTCATATATGTATATTTAATTGCAGCTCAAATTCATGGGCATGGAGTTGATGCTAACTCACAGTTATCCCTCACTGGGTTTCTGAGGCTGTAAATATTGTGAGAGATTGCTCTTCTTTCTCCTGAAAAGACACTGGTGGATTTGAACCTCCAGAGAGGCACAGCCTTTGTGCTAGCAGCACAACTCCCTACCAACTATACTACCAGAGCTCCAAAAGTAAAGTCAACTAGTTTTACCATCTTCACTTTTAAGACATGCTGTGGTTTCATTTGTTCTAACACTGATTTGTTCATTCTTCTACTAGTCCATGTTATGTCCAATGTTTTTTGCCAACTCTACAACTCAGTAGGACTTTCCACCCACCCCCACTCTCTTCTTTTCGTATACATTGTTTTTCACACCTGACTGCTCCCCTTTTCTTTACCCATGCCTCCCTCTACCCATCAAATTGTGTGACCCTATGATTAAGCCCCACCCCTCTTTGGATCCTCATACTCATTCTACAATAATGGTCTTATACATTATTTGCCTTTTAAAAACTGATTTAGTTCACTCAGCATAGTGTTCTTCAGTCTCTCCCAGGTTAGGCAGTAATTTACAAAATCATTGCTCCTGCAACAGTATTCCATTGTGTGAATGTACCATCCTTTCTCAATCCATGCAATTGTGGGTAGGCATTTGGGCTGTTCCCATGTTCTTGCAATGGTGAATAATGCTGCCATGAACATTTGTGTACAAGTCTCTGTGCCTCAGTTCTCATTTCCTCACGGTATATTCAAGCAGTGGAATAGGTGGGTCATATGGAATTTCTGTGTTCAGCTTTTTGAGGAAATACCAAACTGCCTTGCAAAATGGTTGTACCATTTTACAATCCCACCAACAACATATAAGAGTTCCTTTCTTGCCCCATCCTCTCCGACATTTATTACTTGCTGCCCTGCTAAACTTTGCCACTGTTACTAGGTAAGATGGTACCTCATTATGGTTTTGATTTGCATCTCTCTTATTGCCAGTGATTTGGAGCATTTCTTCATGTGTCTGTTGCCCATTTGAATGTCTTCCTTTGTGAAAAGTCTTTTGTCCATTTTTTAATTAGGTTATAATCAATAGAGCTTTTATTGGATAACTTTTTAAAAATAATTTTAATGAACATCTACAGAGATTTTGGATTTCCACTCATTCATTGTTGCATTTTTCTCCCTGCTCACCCTTCCCCCTGCCCCAGTTCACTCTTTTCTTTGAAAAGTAAAAGAAAAATTCCTTCATTGATATACATGCCCCTGCACCGACCCTGAGTATGCTCCACTATGCAACCTTCATTCTAGACTCTTGTCATAACGTAATACCCAATCATATATTGCTCTTAAACTGTTCTCTCCTTCATCTGTTTCAATGCATATACATAATTTATCCAATTCTTCTCAGTCTCACCCCACCTCAGATGTCAGTCCCATGCTACAAAAGTGGCACTATGCAATATTTGTCCTTTTGTGACTGAGATATTTCACTCAGCACAATGTCCTCCAGGGTGACCCATTTTGAATAATATTGTAAGAGTTTCTTGTTTTTCAGTGCTGCGCATTATTCCATTATGTGAATATACCAGAGCTTCTCTATCCATTTATTTGTTAATGGGCACTTAGGTTGTTTCCAACTCTTTGCTATTGTGAACAAAGCCACAATAAACATAGATGTGCTGTTGGGTAACTTTTGTAAGTTGATTGCTCGACCTTTCTTTATCATCTATATCTTCATCTGGAAGTTGTTAAAAATCTGTCCACCATGGATGATCCTGTTGGGATTTGAAATACTAGTAACATAGTTCCAGCACCACAGCAATGTGCAAACTAGTACAGAGTGACAAACTGACAGAATAAACCATTCGCCTACTTTAATTAAGAAAATGAATACATAAAAACAGTCAATCAAAATTTCCAATTAGTCTGAAATAGAAAGTATTGATGCATTCATTCCGTTATTAGAATTCAAGTGGAAACTGGAGAAACAATAATCTAGTTTGCCCATTTTGTTTCTGTGGGTTTGGTCTTCTAGTACCTCTTTGCTTTCTTCTTCTGAGAATGTATTCTTTCATTTCTGTACATGAACGCTTTCTATTTGCATATGAATAACTCTTAACAAATTTCCCACCAAGTAGAAAAATGAAACCAATAATGAGGTGCAACAGAGACAAGATGTGAAGGGGTTTTGCATCTGTATGATTCAGAATCCATGCTCCTGAAATCTTTCTTTTTCTTACCCAGTGTTTCTAAACACTGTTGTCAGTTTCATTTTCTATTCTCAGCTTAAGTTTATATGATAGTCCTCAATGCATTTGAATCCGCTTTCCAGGCTTCTGTAACAAAGTTCCATGAACTGCATGGCTTCCAAGAATAGAAATTTACTGTGTCATAGATCTGGAAGTTGAAAATCTGAAAGCAGAGGTGCGGCCATGATTCTTTCCAGGGGAAAAGTTCTTCCATGTCTCTCCTCAAGTTTCTGATGGCAGCTGGAGAGCCTTGGTATTTATTTTCTTGTGGACATGCCAATCAAATTCCATGATCTGTCTTTACATGACAGATCAGCATCACTCTGTCTCTTTCTTGTGTGTTTTCTCCTCTTCTGTAATTTCATTACCCACACACCTTATTCTATTAAGACTCTCTTACCGTCTAAGGAGTTTTTCTGTTCACTCAAAGGCCATACTGCTCTTGAGATTCGAATCCACCAGCTGCTCTTTGAGAGAAAGAGGAACAATTTTCTCCCATATGATTTGTAGCCTTGGAAACTCAATAGAAGATCAGTGATGAGTCAGTTCCAACTCAACCCCAATGAGCTGAGACATCTGTATAATGTTATAGTATCTTTATCACCGAAAACATCTTCAAAGTCCTTATTTTCAAGGAAAGTCATCTTCAAGGGTACCATAGTGTTATGACTTCAATACATCTTTTGAAAGGATACCAGCAGTCCGTAATATCATCTGTTGTTATTATTTAAGAGTGAATTTTGATTTATTCTTTTCTTTCTCTATTCTTTTTTCCTCCCCTTCCTTTTTTCTGTGTTTCTTGGAATGCTTAACTTCCAGTATCTGTTGGGTGAATGCGGGGTCAGAGGACTCTGGAGCCTTTTCCTGAATCTCAGCCATCTGTGACAACCATTCTGTG